GTGCCAAGAGCAATGGAGTCAAACCAAGGCAACTGAGATACACGAGGAATGTATCAACAATCTTGGAGGATCCCCAAAATTTGCAGAAGCACAGAACAACTCTTTAAAACACAAAGGGGACAATTGTCAACCGCAAAAAGGAACCAACCCAGCCCATGAAGACTAAGCATTCCCATGAGTCACAGGATGTTGACCATCAGTTGGAAATGGACATGGCATGGAGTGACTGGGATACCCGTATGAAGGGAATGACTGGCTAGAACTATCAACACTCCTTTTAAGAGACAGGATACCCCACAACGTTTTATTGATGCTCTACTGGTGAAGTACACAAATTACAACAAATGCTCTTAAGTTGAACAGATAGGGCCACTCTTCATGAAAGCTTCAGTCTGCTGTGAAAAGTGTCCCCTCTTTTCCTTCACAGAGATTGTTAAAACAACATTTTGTGTGAAGCAGCCTGATCGGTGTGCCCTGCACAAGTGCCATGCAATGCCTGATCTGAATTAACTACACAGACGTGATGATGGAAAGACCTTGGTAGAAAGATAACTTTAATCTATCTTAAGTAACTGTGCTTGCATGCAAAATGGCCAATACTGATTCATCACAACTTGATTTTGCCACAGGTTTCTTGAATTCCACAAGGACGTCCTTTTTCTTCTCAATTTGAATTGCAACTATTTATTTATTTAACAGGATCAGAGCTTCACTTAATCATTGGAACCTCCAAGTGGTTCACATTAAATTACTTTGCTTTACTTTTTTCCATTATAAAGGGAGGTAAAGCATGATGGGGTGTTTATGATTTTCTAGTCATCTTCAACTCATGGGTTGGATCATACCAAAATTCAAGTGGGCCACATTTTTGGCACCACCACCATTTTGTTGGGGGATGGGGGTGGGTAAAGAAAAATTAAGAAGAGTAGGAATTGTGAAAGAGAGACAGTAAAGATTTACCAAAAAAAAACACACAACCCCAACAAAATCAGGTTGGCATAATTATAAAGTCTTTTTGTGCATCTTTCCTCACTTAGAATACTTCCCTATAATGCCAAACAGTTGCTGCAAAACTGTAATCTATGCACACACTCCAACATATTTTGGAGGTGACAGTCAAAGTTAAAGTAGTAGTTGATTCCCTATGATTACCATGTATATTCCCTGAGATAATTAAATAATAAATAGTTATATTAAAAGTATTCAAACTGATCAGTGGAAGATTTCCCCACCTCCTCCTAAATTATTCTGTTTGTGATTTTTTTCTCTTTTTGTAACACTTTAACTTGAGTAAATGAGCACCAGCATGCTACCTTGGCAGATTATTTGCTGCGTAAAGGAAACAAACTTTGTAAAATCGTTATACAAAGTCTACAGACCTGGAGATAAATAATGAAAATGAACCTTCCCCCTGTAAATGCCCCAGTGTTCATTTAATTTAATATTCTCCATTGGTGGAAATAAATTAAAAATGAACAAGGCTTGTTTGTGCCTGCCTTACACTATCCTCTGCTTTTGAATAGCAACCGCATATTAATTTATCAGGATTCCCATAAATTATAATTAGCCAGGAGGATTAACAACATAAATCCTTGAATTTAAAACCAACCTGCCCCGCTCTCTCTTCTCTTTGCCCTAAAGTGAAAAGGAGCCCATAAAACCCATCACTGCTGTTTGATCCATTAAACTCATGAGACATTCTTATTTCAGCTTAGCTACTAGAGGTACATTCGTTAAATCTTTTTAAAGTTACAGTAGCCTGCCTGGAATTGAAATGCTCACACTGCAGAAAATAATGTGCTAAAATGGCTACACCCGTCTCTAGGGCAACTGTGACCGAGAACATAAAGCCTGCTCAGAAATCTGGGGAGGAGCAATTTTAAAAGTCGGTAATTGTTTTTGTTTTTCTGTTTTTTAAAAAGCATCTTTAAAGAAAAGCAGGGGCATCTATAGGTTCCCTGTGTCTTCTCTTTCCCTGTAGAAAGAGTTCATACAAGGTGGCCAAAAAGTATTATAAGGAGTATCACAAATGCACACCTGATAAAATGATACTTCACACTATTTTGCAATCTGACAAGTCCAGCATCAGTGGAGAGGCAAAATAAGAAACCTGGACCTAATTTATGCCGCTGCATCTTCAGAGCTGTTGCCCACAATGCTTCTCTGATGCCAGGAACAGGCAGGAGTCTGGGCAGAGGGTGGGCAGAGGAGGCATGGGGCAGGAGGATGATCCACGGGAGAGGGTCTATGATGTGTAGGGTTCTGTGAGGCAGGGGGAAGTCCAGGCAGTCAAAGACAGGAGTAGAGAAGGGGGGAAGAGGTGCAGGAAGACAGAGTCAAACTGTTAGAGTCTCCTCCATCCCCTCTCCCACTGCCTCCAAGGATGAGGAGGGGCTTAAAAGCAACACGAACAGCTGGATGAGCACAGGAGAAGTCACTGAAAACCATGTCAGAAGGGGGGAGGGGTTAAATGTGCTGGAGGAGGCATGGCCCGCTGTTGCACCAACTGCTGGGACTGAGCACGTCTGAAGAAGGAAATGCCCAGCTATTAAGCAGGAGTGGTGTATGTGATTCTTGCACCACAGAAGCAGGTATAATCAAGCTTTGCCAATAAAGAACTAAACTTTCAATCATGTGTCCTCCTTTGGGGGTCTGGGCATGCTCGAGAGATCTATGACTGAATAGAAAAGCTATTGGAAAGCTCTCCAGTTGGCACTGTGACGGCACTGGGATTACTCAAAAGTGTATACATAGTATGAAAAAATAGCATCTACTAATGGATGTGCCTACCATAGCCTAAGCTGATTTCCTACAAAGCGTGTTCTCCTTCATGGAGAGCACATGTTGCGGTGGGGTCTAACAAGACATCCCACTGTTGCTGGGCGGGTAAAAGAGAGTTGGCCACCATTACGATTGGGTGCTTCTTGTTGTTGGGGAGATTTTGATGCTGCCATTTTGTGATTGACAGCCATAAGCTAATTCCCTGCGCACAGCGTTGAGCTTTCTCTTTTCGCTGCGCGCATCGGATCACCCGCCCACCCTCCCTATTTTCAGGGTTGTTCACTTGACCTTGCTATGCCTGTCATGGGGTCATCTGCTTTTGGGGCAGGGGCCTGGTAGGAATTTTGTCCATTTGGCTGATTTGCTGGTGCCAATTGGTTTTTGCCTACTGTGTAGCAAATCGTCACAACTTGTAAAGTTGCAGTTAGGCATTTGTTTTATGAATTGGTTGGTGGAGGGGTATGGATTGGCTGTACCTGCCCCTCCAATGCTGCTGCTGCAAGGGTATTCCATTAAAGGAATCCAGGGGCTCGCCATGCTTTTATCCGAACCCGTGTCAAGGGGCTAGGGCCACGCAAGAGCCCCTGGCAACATTTGGGGAGAGGTGAGGGCATGGTACCCAGCTCCATCTCTCTCCCCAGAATGTTTTCCCTTTCTGACTTCATGGGCGTGCAAATGTCAGTCTGTCCCCATGCGGGGTCAGATAGTCGCAACCAATGCCTAAGCAACCACTCACATTTTTTGTATTTTAATAAAGTTGTGGCCAGAATTATGCCTAAAAACCATAAACAAAAATTCTGTGTGAATTGTGTTTTATTTGGGGTGGATTGAGTACCTCGACACCCAAATTGGAAGTAGTTTGGTGTATCCTCAAGCCAAGCCAACCTTGGAGACCACCTGCCTTGTCTCCTTTCTCCTCCCACTCTCTCCCACCCCAACCTTCCTTTCCTTCAATCCCATTTACCTAGGTAGTGAGGCAGTTTGGAGGACTGTTGGGTGTGGGAAAGTAGGTCCCATCTGGGAGGGAGGCTGATTCTCTGAGCTACAGAAGAGTTAAAAGAGCATAATACTCAACTCATAACTGAAGCCCCCTGAAGTATGAACTTAATAACACATCTAGTAGCATCAGTTTACAAGTGTGGTAGCACTGTCAAATTTCTGTATTTGTTATTTCAGGCTCATAATCATTTGGGGCTCTCATGCTCCTGTAATCATTTGGAGGAAGTTCTGTATGCTACCAGTACAAGGGAGTGTACTGATCCTCACAACTTTGCTGCCAAAATAGCAGCAAAGAACTGCAATAGCCTTCAATTGTGTGCACAAGTATGTTCACCATTCCCATGAGACTCCCTCCAGAGACCCTAACAATTTTACTGCAATTGTCTAGAAGAAGTTCAGCCTATATGAATCACTTAGCTATAAGGCGATTCCTAGTATCATTCCTTTATATCCACAAATTAAGTTTTTAAGACCATTTATTTCCCAGGTTACGCATCCAAACATAAGAATAACCCTGCCTGATCAATCCAGCATCCTGCTCTCATTGTGGCCAACCAGATACCTCTGGGAAACCCAAAAGCAAGACCTCAGCACAATAACACTTTCCCCACCTGCCATTCCCAGCAACTAGTATTCAGAGCCATACTGCCTCAGACAGCAGAAGTAGAGCCTAGTCATCGTGACTATTAGTTATTGACAGCCTGAATGACCGGAGCTATTGGAGAATGTAGCAAATTTCTGCCTAAGTTTGTTAATTTACCAGTAAAGAGATCTTGCTTTGTTATCAACAGGAATATCAAAAAACAAGCCTCCTTCTTTTCTGGAATCCCTGGGTATATCTTAAGAAACTTCAGATGCCACCAATAAATGATCCGTTTTGAACCTCATTTCCATCACTGGCCAGTAAAAAAGTAGCATTTACCAGAACATGGTGGGAAGTGTCCAGAATTGTGAAGAAATTAATTTGCTATGCAGGCATTTTCTTGCATGTGTTATTATGATGTATTAGGATGCATTATTTAACAGTATTAAAAATACACAGTTCTGGGATATTTGTAGGAATAACACAAAATACAGGGAAAACACTTTAAAAAAACCCAACAACCTCCTGAAATAGCATTGCTGGGTATTTTCAGCAGAGACAACCAGGTATTATTATAGAAAAATGCAATTGGTTACTTATTAATGGCAGTAAGACTATTGATAGATAGAAATAGGAAAAAGGCAAAGGATTTAAACATACAAAAATGGTATGATGTAATTTGGGACATAACACTTTCTGAAAAACTGAGGGAAAGGTTGAGTCAAGAAAAAGTAACGGACTCTGTATCAACGTCAAGCACCAGTTTTAAATGCCCACCCCCTCTTCTTTCCCCGCAAACACAGGGGCAAAATTGTGGTTAACTTCCAAATGACTCCACATTGCTAAACATTTCAAATTTTCCAAGGCTGACCGGGGTTGATTAAATATGTCCTCTCCTGCTGGAAGACTGCTAGGCTCACACTGCTGCTTCTTATTTTGTGGTGCCCTTCTCAGATATCACATGAAACAAAGGAGGCAGGAAGGCAGGAATGTTGATGGCTTCAGTCTTCCATTGCCTAGAAATGCAGAAACTTGAAGCCATCTCAGACACAGAAAGCACTCTCACAAACAGGAAGAGGTGGAGATTCAGCCAGGCCTATGCAGCTTGTGAGCTGCCAGCCTAAACACCACCACCAGTCATGCATTGCAGTCTGCCAAGTGCGTAACAACCCCTTCCATTGTTTTGTGGTCCAAAGCAAGCAGCAAAATCCACAGATTTATCAATTTCCTGGTGGGGTGCAGTGCAAGGATAGTCAACTGTGTTTGCCTTGGAGGCTCGCAAGTGCATTTTATTAAAGCTGTTGTATGGAGTCATTTTTAATTTACATATAACCACTTTGCACGCATACACAGAAAAGCATAATAAATGCTCTAGGTAAATAATTTTATTTTTAACACCAGCTGCTTTTTAAAAGAACTGTACCTTTAAGAACTGATACTTCAATTCCCCTGTTCTCCTCCCTCCCCATCCCCTATTCCTTTTGTGTCATGTCTTTCAGATTGCAAGGCTGAAGGCACCACCCAAGACACTCTGGGAGCATTTTCAGCTGACAAATGGGATAAAACTATTTTATAGAAATATAAAATTGTCTATGATCTTTGAGAGTTCTTGGAGAACAAGCGAAGTCCCTACAAAGAAGACTGAGAGGAGGTAGGATAGCCATCTTCAAATATCTTAAGGGCTGTCACATGGAAGAGGGAACTTGCTTGTTTTCTCCTGCTCTGGACGGTAGGACTAGAACCAATGGCTTCAAGTTACAAGAAGGGAGATTCCTACTAAACATTCAGGAAAACTTTCTGACAATAAGAGTGGTTCGGCAGTAGAAGAGACTCCCACAAAAGGTGGTGGACTCTACTTCCTTGGAAGTTTTTAAGCAGAGGCTGGATGGCCATCTGTCATGGATGCTTTAGTTGAGATTCCTGCATTGCAGGGGGTTGGACTAGATGACCCCTGGATCCATTCCAACTCTAAGATTCTATATATAAATCAGCTGAATCAACTGCAGCAACAGTGAGAACAGGAACCTCTGCACCACCAGAGGATTTCACAGTGTACTTGTGAAAAGTCTTACAATTCCTCAGAAGCACGCTTGGATATGAGAACATTTTAACTTCCTTTCACCTGCATTAATTCTCTTGCTTGTCACTGAGAACATGAATGGTGTTACATTCTTGATGAAATGTCTGTGAATAAGCTACATTTCCTTTACAACACAAAATTGGGTTATAGGATAAATTCTTTAGGGCAATATTTTTAACCGCCTAGCAATTTTCCTCCTCTCTTCATGTGGAGTTCTAAAAAGGGCTTTTAAAAGATGCAAATAGGGTGCCTTCTGTTGGTTGTGCCTGTTTATCGCTGTGCTAGGGAGAGGAAAGCAAGTGCCAAGGTTCTTGATATTTGCTCTTGAATCATTATCACTCTAATAGTGATAATTAAAGAGATCACTGAGTAGTCTCCAGCAAGCAGCTGAAGTAAACAGCTTTTGGGTGGTTAGGGGGCTAAATAAACCCATTCTGCATGGCCAAGCAGTAGTCCATGATGTCTAAGCAAGAAATCATATCAGACATAAGGAAAGAGGGAGGTTATGTGAATTAGGGGAAAATACAAATCAATTTGATACCTGGAAGTAAACATCTTGTTAATAATAAATTCTGCTGCCCTCTATCCCAAAGGGGGAGCCTGTGTGCATCCCATGTGGGGACTGGAAAGTGCTCTCTCTCTCTTTCTCTCTCAAAGCTGCAGGAGGAGGAAAGCTTTGCCAACCCATCCCAGCTCCCTTAATTATCTTAATTGCAGCAGCGCAATGCCAACACACTGAATTACCCCCTCAGGCTCAGGCTGCTTAGCCAGGAGGTACTGAATTAAACTGTCAGAACATGCAGAAAAATTGCAATGGTGCCTGTCAACAGTATTTGTTAAGAGACTCGGGTGAAGCAAGTGACTTATATAGAAAAAGAGCTGCCGGTGCAGAGTCGTCAAAGCGCAGCACTGGAACTAATGGGGTATTCAGAGGTCTTGTTCTACTTCATTGGTCAAAGCCAACAAAAAAAACCCCTAGTAATATTTGGGGCGGTTTGCTATTTATGGCCATGGTAATAAAAAAAGGCTGTTTAAAACTGCAAAGCCTTCCTTGACAAAGCGGTCCCCACCAGCTGCGTTTTTGTAAGGCGGAGAGGCCACTGTCCACACACCAAAATCAGGGCTGTCCACAGATTAACATGGGGGCATAGGCAGGGGCCTTATATGAAGCCCATCAAGCTCAGCGTTGTTCTGCAGGGTGTCAGGCAGGGGTCTCTCTCAGCACTACCGGAAGAGACTGGGTATTGACGCTGGGGCTTTCTGCATGAAAAGTAGATGCTCTGTCACTGAGCCACAGGCCTTAAAAAGTTAAAAAATATTTAACTGCTTGCCTGAATAAAGTTAAACACATTTGAGTGCTATCCTAAAAATCTAGACAGGATGATTTTTGAGCACAGCAAAAGTGTGAGGTGACAGAATTTAATCAACAAAAACTACTTGTTGGCATCCATTGCTCTCTCTCTCTCAAGAGAGAGAATGGAGTGCACTTCCAGGGGTGAAGTCAAACTGCTGTGTTAGCAGCACTGAAGGGCGCAAGCCTGGGCAGTGTGTATGGAGGTCCTGGACTGCCCAGATGACAAGACCCCCCTCTCAGCCTCACTGATGTGGGCCAAAGGAAAGCAGAGCAATACACTGGGCATCACCTTGGCTGTGGGAGTTGCTGCAAGGAGGTGTAGAAGGCACCACCCAACCATCTTAGTGACTCCACTCTGGATTTGTGTAGGGTTCACTCATTAGCTATTACTTCTCCCAAAGATATTCTGCAAGGCAGAGGAGGTTTAGGAGTTTTCTTTCTTCTAGATGGGCAACCTTCCCAGGTTGACAAGTCTCATCTGTCCCTCAATTCCCTCTACACTACAGCATGTAAGCATTGGGCTGACAGATCTTAGCCTTCCACCTAGTCCTCTTGTCCCTCCAAAAGTGCCTTCCCTCTCACCTGGGTTATTTCTACATATGCAGCAGATTGAAGGGGAAGTAAGGTGGCAAAATCTTGAGGTGGAAGAATGGATTGTATAATTACAGAATGCAGGTGGAAAGTATATTTCTGAATGCTCCCCTTTTGCAAACAACTGCCTGCAGGTAGGATACTAGCACAACAAGGAGCTGGGCTAGAGTCTTTCTCCCCTATGTGCTAATTTTTCCACCTACAGGGAGGATTTCCTCTTTTAAACATGGGGTGACATTCTAAGCAGCACTATCACCTGCAAGATGACATGGTGCAATCCAGGTTTACCACTGTGATGAAAGCATAGGCCCACACTTGCATAAGGGAGGTCCTGGGGATAGGATCCATCCATCTGCTCCCCTGCATGTATTATTGTGGGTCTCCACATGCATGTATGTATATGTGTGTGCGCGCACGCGCTCAAATAGTTGTACACTCTGTATTAATAAATATCAGAAATAAAGGGAAATCGCCCCCTGTGAAACTGTACATTACATTTATGCTGCCACAATTAGACTCACATCTATACTGACATTGCATCAAGTGACACATTTAATGTAAAATGTAGTTAGAGCCCAAGCTGCAACTGTAGAATTTACTGCATCAGTGTAAAACAGCAACAGACTGATTTCTTTAGTTTTTTTTTTCCAAAAAAACCCACCACATATGAATAATTTGCTTGCAAATGATAAAGGGGAGTGAAGCATGAATGTGTATGTGTGTTCATCAATACTACAATTAATGCTCATATTCCAAGGACAATCTGTATTTTAGGACCAGAGTATCAGAGTGCAGCCCGCCATCTCTAGCATCTATCCGGCCCATTCATTTTGCTAATATCCCTTGATTAAATGCAGTTGCTGGAATTCTTTAAGTAGTTTCACATCATCATTTGGGCACTCATTTAAATGGGTTTCCACTAATAAGAGTATAAGTTCAGTAGAGGTTAATGAACCATTAATTCACTCTTTTAACTAGCTCATTTATGTAACATATAGCCTGTTTATTTTCATGCAAACGAGCCACACAACATTTAATAGGCTAAACAATCAAAGATATAAATAAACATGGTTTATGCAATCAGGCCATAATCTTCCCGCAACTGACTCGGGAGTATTTCCACTAATTTCAATGGCACTACTCCAGCATAAACGGTTATATGGTCCAGGTCATATTTCCCTGCAGTAAATACTAGAAGTCATATTAATTACTGCAACATCTATACCTGAAACTGAAAGAACATTTTGTTGGTGGGGAGATGGGAGGAGGGAGTCAAGAATATCTGTTGTTGCGGGTGCTGTAAGAAATGGTGTGAATAGCACAAGAGTGGGAGAAAGGCTCTCTGCCCCAAGGATGCTGCAGTTATAAAAGTAATTAGCAGATATTTATGCCACTTCTTTTTCTTATAGAACCCTGGGGTGGAGGGAGAAACTTTCACCCTGCAGGTACATGGCTTGATTTCTAAACACTTGAGCACTATTTCAGATAGAATGCACAATGAATCAGCTATAGCTGGAGTACTAGTCTTCCTTATTCCACCATTCTCAAGCAGTTGCTGGGGGGCTCCAACAAGCCTGGAGGGGCCTGCCACTAATGCCTATATTGATTAGTGCCAGGTAGTGGGCTGAATCTCAATGTCTTCAGGGCATTGTGAGAAATGATGACTACTTTAGTTTTTCACAATTACTTGGAATAACACTACTCCTGCCACCACATAAGCCTGCCGGGGGGGGGGGGACACCAAGAGACACTTTATGAAGCACCCATTCAAAGCCAGAACTAGCCCTGGCCCCATACTGCAACTCCATGCACTGGTATTTTCTTTGTGCACAGAACATAAACATGTAAAAGTTGCATATGTTATCTGGATCCCTGCATTCTGCAATACAGAACATCACTATGATTTGCATAGGAGTGTTAAGAGTTCACAGGGAGGTTAAAGGTAAAGAGGGATATTTTGCTCAGGAAGTTCTGCACATGACACTCATAAGTTTAAAAGTAAATATTGAGCCAATATATTTTCCACAGAAGGGTTAAAGTTTCAGCCTAGGAACTTGGCAATTAAACCAAGACTCCCGTTCTCTTTCTGATTAGCTAAAAGGTTGGGAGAGGGAGTGATAATATTTTATATGAGGTGGAAAATAGGGTAGTTTGCTGAAAGAATTGCAGAGTCAGAAACATGAAGAGCTATAAGAAAGAAAAGGGCTGAATCACTTTAAGAGATATAGAACATTGACAAGCATTAGCACAGGTGGACATTGCAGCAGGAAAGGTCCAGGAGAAGACCGCAAAGAAGCCAGCTGAACTGAGAAAAGCAAATAAGCAAGTATTGGCCTAGTTATGGAAACAGTATAGAATAGATATAGCTGGATTTGTTTATCCATGTTCATTTTTTAATTTGCTCAAACAGTAAATAACAACAATTATTTTTATTTTTAAAAATCTTAAACGTTATTTAATCTACTGCCTTGTGAGAACCTTAAGTAAAAACATAGTTTTTTGTGGGGAGAACGTCTGAGGCCTTGTTACTCATCCCACACAGGGAGTAGGTATGTATGGCCAGCTGAAGTCCTAAGGTTAAAGAGTTGTTTAGTGGAGGCAGTCAGAGAAATATTTTTCACTTGGAGGCAATAATGAACTTAACAAGGCACAGGGATTCACTTTGTTTCTTTGTCTCCCTTCCTCTCATACTGCTGGTTACAGTCCATGCCATCACACATGCACTGACTATGCCCCTGTGAAGAATTGTGGTTTGAATGACTCACTTGATGTACCGTAAGTGTGAACAGTCCGCTGAAAAGCATTGCATTTGCAATGATGTCGTAAGAACATTCCATCTGCAAGGTTTGATTTAGGATGGCTTGTTCACATATGCATGCCACCTGATATTTAGTAAGCTAACAATGAGCATATATGTATGTGTGAAAGAGCACAAACAAAATGGATGAAACATGGCACAACCCATAATTGCATATTAGGCTTTATATAGATTATTCCAGGGGTAGGCAATGTGGTGGCCCTCTAGATGTTTTTGACTGCAGCTCCTATCAGCCCCAGGCAGCATTGGTGAAGGATGATGGGTGTTGTAGTCCAAAACACCCGAAAGGCACTACATTGGCTACCTTGGATAAGATCAAGGGTGAAATCTGCTACCCTTTTGCTGTAGAGCAGGGGCATGGAACCTGTGCTCCTCCAGATGTTGTTGGACTCCAATTCCTATCAGCCCCAGGTAGCATTGCCAATGGTCAGTGGAACTGAGTAGTAGTCCAGCTGAGGACCACGTTCCCCACCCCTGCTGTAGGGGCTACTTCATGTATTACATTTCTTAAGGTGGACACCTAACTATGTTGTTCCATTGTAATGTGCAGATGTGACTAAGTGGTGATTCAAAACTATGTATCATATATATGGACAACTTGTCAGAGCAGTTTGTTGCTTGTGCACTGGGTGAAAAACCCAGGTTTTTTGCTGTATAATGTGTGAACTGGGATAGCCCAGTTCAAATAAATGAGCTCACTGCAGAATGTGTTGGATATGGACTGCAGCCAAAGCTAACACTAGCCTTTGACCCGGCCAAAGTAAATTATAGTTAATGATTAAAGCTGTCAGACTATTTCTAGGAATACACCTTCAGTAACCTTTAGCACAGCTCAGCTGCAGGTACTTTATTTGCAAGAAGTGTTTTGTTTTCTGAAATCCCAATCCTGAAGTTGTGTGTGTTTTTTAGAGGAGGAGGGAGGGAATCTTCTAGGGAAAGTAGCCAATCTCTCCTGTCAGCAGTAGGAAGTATGAATATGCACAGAGGAGAACAGATCAATTTGGAAGCAGCTCATTTACTGTAAATACTCAAAGTTCAGCCATATGCTTAGCCAGTGCTTATTAAAATGGCTTTGAATATATTCTGACCTCTAATAAAGAGCAGGTTAAAAACAACGAGAATGAACTCCAAAACAGCCAAAGACTAATGGTTTCATTTTCTTGTACTCTCCTCTCCTCTCACCAAACAAGGCTGCCGCCGCCACCACCACCCTTACCTCCTTCCAGGATGTAGGCAAATGTGTGCACTTAACAGGATGCCCTATCCTCTACCAAAAACAAATATAACCACACAAGGGTAGGTGCAAAGAAGCACTGATCTGAACCATAGTGTGATTTGGAATACATCAGACATGCATTCAAAACTCTGCTCCGGAACTAGGGCAGCTTCCAATCTAAAATTCATTCCCCTGAGTTAAGTGGGACAAAAACAATACAGTGTGGTTTTTCAGATTGAAAGGAATTAAGGAAGAGAGCTATGTTAGCTCAGACACAGTTATGACCACCTGAAAAGAAGTGGGATGCCTTTGGTTCTAGGCTGAAGTGAACACTACCTGTGTTTTCAGGAAAGACCTTTACCTCCAACAGAGCTTCTTAGAGCATCCAAGTCACTGGACATCAACAACTGTTGTGCAGAGTTTCCAATCACAGGGTGGATTCACTAAGCAGGCTCCAGTATGGTTTCAAATCATGTTCAATGGAACATGGTTAGAATTTCCTCACAGAAATTCATGTATGAGAAGGGGAGGGTCCAGAGTGCTTGGGAACATTAAGAGTGGAGCCAGCGTGGAAAACCCTTACCCATTTTGAGCCCACATGCATTCTTTTGAGGGCTAGGGGAGGGCTTTTAATTGATAGAAACCGCATTGTCCACTGTAGTCTTCCAGAGGCATGAGAACATTTAAAGCTGCCTTTAGGCCAAGGCAGCTGGTCCCAATCCTGCTTCACCTGGGGTTTTTTTTTAACTAGGCAATGCAGACAATTGAATTAGATATGACTGCCCAACCCCTGTCCTCCAGTGAAAATGTACCGGATTTTTCATCTGCAGTAACTTCTTATAAAGTCTGTCGGGGGGGGGGTGTTTCCATTGTGGCACCCTGAGTACTTATATGCCCACCAAGGTCCCCTCCCCCACTGTAATTATTTTTAAAAGATGGGTTCTGTTGTAGCCAATAAAATAGGTTGTGGCTTGAGCTTGCTCCCAAGTATGTGTCTCTCTGTGTTGTGCCCACTGGTCTCAAAAGGTTGGTGATACCAAGTAAACAAAGGGTAGCAAACCAGAGTGTGAATCATTGAAAGAAATAAGAACACTGCAAATTTCCAGTAACATGGATTATTGGTCATAAGACTTCATAGAAAACAGAATATGTATTTATAGCTCAATTTCAACATCTTCCCCCCACCCCCTACATTTACTGCAACACACTTTCCAATCTGATTCCCATGAGTATATCGAAACCAGTATTTAACCCACTTCCTATTGTGGTACACTCTGTAACCACTTCAGATTTGACTGTATGAACTACTGCTCTGTTCCCTACCCTTCCACCATTACCTAAGCATTCTTTTAGGTATTAGTTATTTTCCCCTCCCATTTGCATTTGCTTTCCTTCCTTCCTTTTATCAGTGATCTGCCTGCAGTTTCAGCCACCCCCACAGTAATGAAGCATGAAGGGGAAACGATCAAAAAGGAAAATAAAATGAAATAACAATAACATGTGTCACAAAACGTTCTTGTGAAATTCTTTTTCTCCAAAACAAACTAATCAGTAAACATTGAAAACAATGAAACATCCAGGTCCTCTCCTTTCTCCATTAAGAAGCATTTGTACCTAATTTATCAACCTGTACTTACATAGTTAAGTTCCTAAGGTTAAACTGTTTTGCTCATTCATTCATTCATTCATTCCACTTTTTTTCCACCCTTCCAAGTAGCTCAGGGAAGTGTGCATAGTTTCCACCCCCATTTTATCTACGCTGCAATCCATGAATAGAGGGGTTCAGACTCCCAACCACCCACCCATTCAGAGAAGTATGGCAGCAGTAGGGTTAACCCATGGGACTCTGCAGTGCCCCTATGTGTCATGAGCTGGCAGGACAGCAGACAGGAGGAAGAGGATCCTGGCAAGGAGTATAGCCATGACTGGGACACACAGGGGCAAGCTGGGGGTGGTGAAGGAGAGATTAGTGTAGAAGGTACTCACGGGGCGATGGTAGGTGGCAAGAGGATGGAAGTCAGTGCACAGGAACCAGAGCAGCAGGACACATCACCAGAGCCAGAGGAGCCCCTATCTCCCTGAACATGGCAGGTTATGAGGCAGCAGGAGGAACACTCCAGAAGGCAGAGGCAGGCAAGAACTCACTAGCTAGCCAGGTGGAGCTTGTTAGCTCTGGGAGGAGGTGTGTGATTCTTCAGCTGGAACAGGTGAAGGTCACATGTCTTGTCAAGCCCAGATGCTGCAATCAGCATGCAAAGTATAAAATAGTAGAGCTGACATGCTGGTGCTGCTCAACTTCCCACATTGGTTGGATCATGGCTTGGATGTTCCAGAGAGCTCTTTGGGAATGTTTGTGCAGGACTGACCTCAGGCTGCAGAGGCAGGAACCTGGCATGACTAGACTTTGGTCTTGTTAGCCTGTTAGACTATGTGCTAGCATCTGCCATGGAATCATGTGGGCTAGTGGGACTTGCTGCCAGGTAGCCTGTGGTTCAGGACACTGTATTCATTATTAGAGTGGTCACTTACATAATTCAAAAGGAAAGGGAAACACATCATGAAAAAAGTCACATTTGAATCAAGTTTGCATAGCTAATGTGTGTGTATGTTTATACAAAATTAGAAATAATTGCTATCATTTAAATAGAAACGCAGTACATCTCACCTCATTTGAATAGGAACACAATATATCTCATCCTAAGCTAAGGGAAGATTGAGCAGGTGAGCTGTGTGTCTGCTCAGGCTGTGGTCCAGGTGCTGACTGTTGATGGGTAACTTCAAGGCCACCCTGGTCTTAGTTCTTTAAACATGATTTGGAGAGGACAGTCCTTCAAATAGAAGGCTCCTTCAAAGAGAAGTCTGTTGAGCCTCTACTTAAAGGCACAGACACCAAGATAACATGACATGTTCTTTGGTGCTGAGAAACAGTAGTGGGCAGTGTTAGGACTAAGAGAGGCAGAAATTGCTGGGAGCACCTTGGCAGAAATTGAGATCCAGCCTTGGGGGAAGAAGACAGCTGCACAAGTTGCTTTCTGAGGATCTGCATTGTCAGCTCTGTCAATTTTCTCCATTTATGCTCTGCTTGTATATCTGCAAGTAATCCCGCTATTACAAAGGTGCCATCAGTTTACAATACTCTCTCACCCAAAGCAAACTAGAACCTTTAGTACTGGCATCAAATTCTGCAGCACCCCAAAGTGGGGGTCACATAATCATAGTGTGCGGAAGGCTGTATGTATTACTGCATTTTCTAGACCACAAAATTAAATTCCTGCATCTTCCAGATTGCCCCTGGAAAGCATGTGCGCTCTCTCTCTCTCTCTCTCTCTCTCTCTCTCTCTCTCACACACACACACACAGAGAGAGAGAGAGAGAGAGAGAGAGAGAGACTGTTCTTTTGCAGCTTTAAAGAACCTTTTCTTCCAAAACATTTTCAGTTGTTTAAAGAACCTTTTCTTCCAAAACATTTTCAGTTGTTCATTTGAATGCATGTAGAAGGATAATCACTGCATCAACTGGCCCTGCCCCCAATCATGCATTTGGTGTAATGTCTGAAAGAGCCTTCTAGAGAAGTGTAGGTTCTGTCTGCACAGTTGGGGATTCCTGACTATTAAAGAGTCCTGGACTACTCATGCAGTGCATGCATGCATGCAGTGGACAGTACACTGCGCATGAGGAAGAGGTAGTGGTTACAATCCTACAAGCATTCAAAACAGGTTGGTTTGTTATTTTTTAAAAACTGTATTTTTCAGATGTGGGGCTCTAGGGTGAGCCAGCCAGATAGTGGGATGGTCAAAGACAGATGAAGCTGAAGGAGGATTATTTTAGGCTTGTTATCACATAGCACTGAACAGAGGTACACGATGTCCCTACACATGTACAAGTGTTTGTGTGAAAGTGTGCTGATTTGTCCAGTTCAATTGTAGGGTACCAGAATGTACATTCACTGAACACTACATGTGACTAAAGTATGAGTGTACAGCTCAAATATATGTGTACACAGATTGTATGCTTATTGAATGTAATATGTGAACACCTCTTTAATGAACATCTATAAGGTAGCTTGAAGTCAGTGGCATAGGAGAAACTGTGGGCTAGCAGCTGGGAAAGTTTGGAGAGAAACCTTAAGACTTACAAAAAATAGTCAGAGATGCAATCTCCCCCCCCCTTCTCCCTCCCCCTTTACATCCAAAAGGTTCTGCTGTTCAGAGTAACATTTTAACAGCAGTGCCTTCTGAGAAGAACATTGCTTCTGATGGAATGCAGTAAATGGTCCAGAAGATTAATGGGCTGCTTTAAGGAAAGAGACTCTTTCAAATCTCTTTGCAGCCAGTGATGGGGAAGTGTATGGGTTTTTGCAAAGGATCAGAAGTTCTCTTCTAAATTCAACATGTTGGAAGCAAATTATAACGCTTTCAGTCATTAGCCATTTTAATGCAGGAAGTTCTTTTAAAGTGTCTTTTTGCATAGACATTTCCAAATAAATGACTGTCCTGTGCGTGTGCGTGTGCGTGCACACACCACACGCACACACCACACACACACATTCATTCATTCACTAAAAGATAAAACATTACATTAAATGCTCAGTTCCAGTGATAAGCTAAAAGATTTTGCAGTTCAGGGACTAAGGATCAGAAAAAGAAAACAATGAAGGACAGAAGGATGAAGAACAGATTCGAACAGAAGATCCCAGCTAACAGAAGTATTTTTGATAACACAGCAACATGGCCAGAATTGTCAATCCTAAGAAATTTCACAAAGTGCCACTGTACAGCATATACCTTTTAAGAGATGTTTCCAAACTTGGGCTTCCAGTAAAACTTTGGGTGACAGCCAGTATTGTGCAGAGGTCATGAACCAAGGGGACAAAGCCTGTAGCCAGAACCAAAGGAAAAACCAGGTGGCTGGAGCCAGGTGCAAGCAGGACTGAAGAACCACCAAAAGGTACAGCAGAGATTAGGAAGCTTTCTAAGGGCCATGCATCAGAGGTGGGCAGGGCCAGAAGCAGCAGTGGGCAGAGCAAGAAACATTAATTTTACTTTTGTACAGTAGACTAGTTGGTGCACACCAGGGCCGGCTGCCACCACCATGCATTTAGTGTAATGTCTGAAAGAGCCTTCTAGAGAAGTGTAGGAGAAGCAGCACCGGCAACTGATTTCCAGCAAGATCTCACTGAAATCACATGCAGTCTTGTGCAGCATGCGGTATCTCACCCAAAATTGGTGCCAACGCTGGTGCTGCTTCTTGACTGGTGGTTGAGGTGGCAGGGCAGGTGGTGCAGGTGGCACAGCACTTCCCATTTCACAAGTGGCAAAATGAGATGCACCACCCCTGCTCCATCCACTCTCCACACACTCCTCTCTATCCTTGATCCAGACAACCAAGGGGCATGATCAAAGTTCAAGAACACAGAGACATTCCAGGTGCGCAAAAACAAACGTGGAAGCAGCGTGGATGAGGGGTGTGGCCTGGGGTGAGACTAGAGGACCAGATAGAGTGGCTTGGAGGGCAGCATTCAGCTGCCAGGTCTGAGGTTCCACACCTCTGGAATATAGGGACACACCAAGAACAAGAAAACCTTGTTGTTAACTCAGACTGGGAGCCGTATTATAGTCCTTTTTAGAAAGATCTATTGACCAGCTTGAGTGGGTGTGTCAGTCCCAGGCAGCCACACTCAGTTCTGGAGGTGTCCAGTATGAGCCCAGCAGCTGCTGGGAAGTGGGGTGGGGAGCCTCAGAACCAGGGCCAAATGGTGCTCTCCATGCTTTTCTATTTGGCTCCCAAGATCTCTGCAGGGCACACACCGTCCCCACAGGCCACGGTCATCACCAGCCCTGCTTTGTCCTCTCACTGAGAGCTTTTTCTGACTGCAGCATCCCTTGAACTGTGATAATGCATCTTGCTTGCCTGCAATGAGGATGAAAAGATGTGGGTGGGTTTGTGACTGAATAAACCTCTAGCTTTTGACAGTTGCTCTACCTTTTTTTCCTCCCTTTCTTGTCTTTGGCCTCACCCACCTTTGTCATGCAGCCTGTGAAAAGTGGGCCACAAGGAAATGTAGCCCTTGGGCTCAAAAAGCCCTAGACCAGGTGTGGGGAACCTTTGGGGTCACAGCTGCTGCTGAGCTACAACTCCCATCAGCCCCAGGAAGCATGGCCAAGGACCAGGGATCCTGGGAGTTGGAGTTCAGCAACCAATGGAAGGTCAAACCTACCCTAGAACAAATGATAATCAAGACAAGGAAAGTCTTTGCAGAGTCCCTTCCTTTATTTAACACCTTAACATCTCATTTATGGCATTTGTGACCCATTTCACAACTTTGATTTATCATTTGCATGCATTATCTATCACTATCATATGAGATGCTGTACTACAACTCACTGACACTCACTACATTTGTTGAGTGGGGACCAATGCTATAATTTCCTCCACAAACTAATTAAAAACAAGAAAGCAAACTCTTCCAAGTCTGCCTCAGAACAACTTGGAAATGATTTTTTTTTTTAAGGGAAATCTCAGATGATTTCTTTGAGCCAGTCTAAGGACCAAAGAAGAAGTTCCCATTCATCTCCACAAGCTACTACTGCCCTCAAGATGTCTTCATTAGCCTATGCCCTCCAATATACATTCTAGTCTTCCTTTGCAATTGGTGTCTGGAGGGGGAAGCAGGAGCAGGAAATCATGGGGAAAGGATAAAAAGGAGCATTTCTCATTTCCTCCATCAGCCTGGCATGCTGGGAAAAACCAGGAGACTGTAGGAGATATCATTCTCTCAAGGGCTTTCTGAAGCCTAGCCCATTCCACATTCCCCAAGCAAACAATACCTTAGGTGCTAGGAAAGTCTACTGAACCTAGTCAAGCCTTTCTCCTCTGTGACTGACACTACCATTTTCAGTGTAGCCTTCCAGCTTGGGTTGTGGTATCACAGGAAAACTAAGCAGCAACATTTCACATGGCCTGTTACCTCCCCATGGTCCACCACAACACATTGTGCCAACTCCCAGTTTTGGGAAATTCCATTCTACAAAGCCTGCATATATTAGGCATGCGTTAGAAGTACTCTACATCGCCAAATTATATTCAGCAAAGAGCAAGCCATCAAACACATTTCATAGAGAGAGAAAGAGCACTTGGGAAAATATTTCCCTTGATCGTTTTTCTCCATAAGTTCCTCTGGCAACCGATTCTAAACATAGGTGCCAAATTATGGTAGCTTTAAGCATTCTATTACTCTTTGGCACACTAAAGAGCCAGTGATTTAAGACAGTTTGAGATGTCCATTAGCTGTAGCAATGAATTCAAATACTAAGAAGCCAGGCCATAAATCCACTTTCACACAAAGATTAACCACCGCTAATACTTCTGTTTGTCTAATATTAGCGGCTCCTTCTTTAACTAGGAACCACAGAGATCTTTGCTTGCTAATATCATCTTTTCTTTTCCTTTCCTTTTTTTTGGTTGGGGGAAGATATAGTTAGATTGGTTTCTGCTAAAGAATCTGTAAAGGTGAAGAGTGTCCATTTTGTAGAGAAACAGACACCAGAGCTTAAAACCATCATATGCACTATGCATGTGTGCACACACAAACGAGACACACTGACTATCAGTGGTTATTATGATAAGGCATCAGCTATGCCCTATGGACAGTTTTCAACAAATGAGTGCAAGATTTTCTATTTCTGCAATGGGTCTTTCCCCCCTCTTCACCTCTCATGTGTGCCTTGTAAACTCCCAAAACCTGACCTAGAGGATTGGGGAAACTCTTAGAACAGAATTAGGGGACAAGTGGAGAGAGGAGGAAGAACACCAGTCCTACTAAGCATCGCCTACACATATATTAGCAGACTAAAGTGTCTGACTATCTTAGGGTTGCCATATTTCAAGAAGTAATTTTTTTAAAAATGAAAACCCAAAAGTTGAGGGTAAGAGGCGAAGCATGGGAATGCAATGGGGGAGACGGAGCCAAAGGGTGAGTGGCATAAACGGTGGGAGCAGAGGTCGCGCTCAACTGGCACTGGGGAATCCCTGCTCATTCGCTCCAGGCAGGCAGCAGGAGCGGGACCTCCCCTCCCTAATCTGGCTGCTAGTTTGGAGCGAGCTGGCAGCAGCAGCAGCATGAAGCGCTCATAACCAGACTACAGCTCCTCCAACAGTGAGGAGCTGGATGAGCCCATTGAAGTGGAGAAGAAGAGCAGAGATGAGAATGGGAACTTGAGCTCCGGTGGAGGCAAAATGGACTGCTGTGTAACACATGAAGCTGCCTTATTCTGAGGCAGATCATTGGTCCATCCAACTGGCAGTGGCTCTCAAGGGCTTCAGGCAGGGGTCTCTACCAGCCCTATCTGGAGATGCCAGGGATTGAAACCAGGGCCTTCTGCATGCAAAACAGATGCTATACCA